TGAGGCAGGAGAATTGCCTGAACCCAGGAGGCGGAGGTTGCGGTGAGCCGAGATCGTGCCATTGCACTCCACCTGGGTAACAAGAGTGAAACTCCGTCTCAAAAAAAAAAAAATAGATTTTTTAAATTTTTGGAATAATTTTAGATTTACAGAAAAATTGCAGAGAGAGTACACTGCATTCCTATATATCTTTCCCCCAGCTTCCCTGAATGCTAACGGCTTATGTAAACATAATACATTTGTCAAAACTAAAAAGCCAATATTGGTACATTATTACTAAATTCCGGACTTTATTTAAACTTCACTAGTTTTTCCACTAAGGTCTTTCTTCCATCCCAGGATCCAATCCAGGATACTATGTTAACTGTTAACTTAGGCCCCCATCCTTTTTTAAGCATTTCATTACTTACCACAAAATGCTCTTGTCTCATCTTGTTTTTTCCCTTCCCAGCCCTGGAATGAATCACTTTTCTAAGGAGCCCCACCCACAGAGTTTTGAAAAAGTCCCAACATCCAGGCAGCACCCTAGAGTAATTCAGAATCTCTAGCTGTGAAGTCCCAGAATTTAGCTTTTAAAAAGTTCCCCAGGTGATTCCAAAGTGCATTTGAGATTGGGAACCACTGATCTAGACTTCACTTCTGGTTGCTAAAGAATAATTAAAATTTTATTAAATTCCCAAATGCCAAAGACTTTAGTGTACTTCCCAGCAGACTTTTAGGCTCCCTGAAGACAAGCATTTAAAATCTCTCTAATCAGCACACATCCCAGAACCTGGTACATAAATCGTGTTAAATGAATGCAAGTTGAACAAGTAAACTATGCTTTGGCTTCCTTAGGGAAATTAGCCTAGGTCTAACTCTTTTCCTAATCCTTCATTCATCTTTAAATTAGATCCTTTTTGCTGCTGAACACCTATTTCATAAAACCTTGAGTGAGTCAGTGCAAGGGAAGTAGCATCAAGGCTGCCCACCATAAAGCCCTGGGGTGACCTTCCCAGGCAAAAATCTTTGCATCTCTTCTCTGAAGGACCCTCACTGTGTCTGATGTCCACTCCCCTCATTTGGATCCTCTTTTGCCACCTTTCCCTCCAACAGCCTTTAAGGCAAATGCATTAGAAAAGATAGCACCATCTTCTTTATTTCCTTTCCCTTGTCCCTCCTCCCTCCTTCTGGCTTGTTCCAATGCCTCAGCTTCTGCAGAGAAGTATAAAGGGCACAGGCTCCGGAGCAGACCAAACCATCATCAAATCCCAATCCCCCACTTACTAGATATATGTACTTGAACACATAACTGAACCTCTCTTAGTCTCTGTCCCTAATATGTAAAATGGGGATAACACCTACCTTGCAGGATTCATGTGAGAAGTCAAGAGAACATTTTTGCTAACCTAAGGCACAACGTGTACTCAGAAATAGCAGTTTTGATTGTCCTTATTATTACTATTGGTAGCAGAATCACCTTCCTGAATCACACACTATTATTTGGGAGGGACAGGGCAAGGCAAATTTCTATGAAAGACAGCCACAACTCTACCCATCTGTCCAGTGATCTAGTAACTAATAGAAGTTCATTTAGAATTTGCAGAATTCATCACAGGCAACTACACAATCCAGAGGAAATGGCCAAAACTGTATAAAGGCAACCTCAGCTAAAGCAATTATCTACTGATAACACCAGCTGTATAACCAACATAATAATAACTAACATTTGGGCGTGAGGAAGTGTTGAAGTCTTCCAAGTGCTTTTGTTTGCATCATCTTATTTAACCTCTCACAACCTCAAGGTGGCTATTATGATCATTTCACAGGTAGGGAAACTGATGTTTGAGTCCTGAGCTAGTGAGTGATAGAGGCAAAACTCACACACAGGTCATTCTGGCTCTGACATCCTTATGGTCTCACCACTGAGGTTTTTGTTTTGGGGGAGGTGTTTTCTATGTAAGTTTAGAAGTGTCAGAAGTGCACACTCACCTCCAGATCTGCTTAAAACAGGAGTTTTCAAGAAAAGACTTAAAAGACTGGTGTCATTGAAGAAAATGTCAAGTCAAAAAATGTTGGGCTTTCCTCTTCTTATTCAGCCTCATATCTTCTCATTTCAGCTTAGTGGAGGAATGTTTTCTGGCAGCATTTTTATTCCAACAACTAAATTACCAACCAACGAACTAACCAACCAGTACATTTAGCCTATGCTAGGGGATGTGGGGACACCAGAAAAGATGCCTAGGCCCTGGCCCTCCCGGCCAGTGCTGGAAAGAGCAGTAACCCCAGAAGCTAAAGTACCTGGTGTCAAAGAAGAGTGAGGTCTCAGAAAGATGTAGTCGGAAAAGCTGAAGATGGTGCTTCTGGTGGGAAATGATAAATAAAGGCCAGGAGGAGGAAATGAAGGTATAATATGCTGACTGTTAAGCCAGCAGCTGCTTGTAGTCCTTATTTGTTTTCAAGGAGCAGTGAGAAATAGGGTTAAATACAGGATGGGGCCAGAATATGCTGGGTGATGAGACAAACAGCAGAATTTGGACATCATGTGCTGAACAACTGGGAGCTGTGAAGGTTTTTAAGCTAGAAAAGAACACCATAAATTTGATGTTTAAGCCAGTTCCATATCTTTGCAAATTATCTTAGTACTGATTTGTTGCCTGATTTAAACTAACTAGAATAATTAAATTGTTCTGTGTAAAACACACATACACAAAGAGAGAGAGAGAGAGAGAGAGAGAGAACTCCAGACTCGCATCAACACTGCAAAGTGCTTAGTGTCTTGGAGTATCAAAATTAGAAATTTCTCTTAAACGTGATTTGACATGAACAAACATCAAAGGCTAAAGAGTTGCAATTTTAAGACAATAAAGCAGGTAGGTACAAGCAACCAGGAGTGGAGCAGAGAAAATTATGTAATCTCACTGGCAGGGAAAATGTCCCAAACCAAATATTTTTAAAAATGCTATGGAGTACCTTTTCTTCAATGACCAGGAGAGAAATCCAATTTTTATAAGTCTTGTACCCAATATTAAGCTCACAAATTGTCGTTTTATTCATGTGTATTTTGCTAGAATCTTTGTTTTAATCTGTTCTTATAGTTAACATCTCCAAGACACACACAGAAGTCTGACAGTACATTGCACTCTTTAAAACCAGATGATCAGATAAATAACAAAGAGCACAGAGCTCTGCTTTCATTTATTTTGATGATTTCTTTTTAGATTGTTCTGTGCACCTTAAGAAGAGAGATTTCCAAACAGAATGCAGGCCTTTTCTTTGGGATGTGGGAATAGAAGTTTAGGAGATAAGAAATCTTTTATAAAACAGACATAAGATATTCTGTACAGATATTTCAACCCTTGGCCCTGGGAAAATATTTTTTGCCTTCTTAACCTATATTCAAGGCCCAAACTATTGGATGTATTCTAATTCATACTTACCTGTGTGCAAACATGGAATCAATGCATAGACAAACCACATGAAAAGACTTGTCCAGACTTCTTCTAGAACCATTGTGAAAGTCTGTATTTGGTAGATTCAGTTTGACCTGGAACATTGTTTATTTCCAGAATGAAGCATTCTGTCCATCTCAGCCGTCTTTCTTCAGAATGCAAATGTTGGAGCTGAGGTCTGAGTCTCAGTGAAGCTCGAATTGTTCTGGAACCAGCCCAGGAAGCTGAGAAAAGGCGGGCTTGGAAGCACCCTCCTTTCTGTCCAAACCCAGATATTGCATCATGGGGGAGTGGCCTAGGAGAGTTCCAGAGAAAATGTAACTTTAGGGAGCTTGAGAATCTGCCTATGAGCGATACCCGGACCATAGGCTCTGTCCTGGAGGACCCTGCACATCCCCAGAAGTCCGTGTGCAGGCAGGATTATCTCCCTCCCTCATTGAATACCTAGCTGTCCTCTTCCAAGTTTCTCTCTGTGAATTCATTCAAGCTGGCTACTGACAAGCTCTTTTTTCTAATACATACCCACTTCAGAAAAAGCAGAGCTATTTGAAAAAAATTTAAATACCTTTCTAAAAGTTCGGAGGTGAAGAAGAATATATAGCTTCACATGTGCATGCATTTGCAAAAAGAAAAGCTGAAAGAAGATATAAGAAATGAACAAGATTGGTTACCTTGGGTCAGAGAAAGTGGGAATTGGAAGATAGAAGAGAAAAATGGGAACAATACTTTTGACCAAATATTTTTGTGCATTGTTTGATTACTGAGTCATGTAAATGTATTACTGAAAAATTAAAACTAATTTCAAGAGGTGGAAGAAAAACCTTATGATAGGATTTAGCCCCTTAAAATTTAGCCCTTGAAGGATTTTAACCACCCTAATGTGCAAATACAATAGTGGTATAAACATGGGTTCTAGAGTAAAATGTATTTTGGTTCGTTTCAGAACTTATAATGTAACGTTAGGAAAGTTGGTCATTTATTTATTCATTCAAGAAACATTCACTGAAGGCTTACTATGTGCTAGTTCTTGGGAATTCAAGTCCATTCTCTCAACAAGAACTTCCCAACTAGTGGAGAAGATGAACATGAGAATAATCATAAATTAATTTTTAAAATGAAGTGACAGCAATATTCATAAGGGAATAGAGGATCACTAAGAAACATCTAACCCAGCCTGTAGGATCACAGAAAGCTTCCTGGAGGAGGTGACTCCAGGACTAGGTATTAAACTGAAAAAAAAAAAAAAAAAAAAATCAGTCAGGAGTGTTGTTTTTAAGACACAACGAGAAGTTTGGTGCAACAGGAGAACAAGATTGAAATGGCGAGAATTGGGGCTCAATAGCAGACAGAAACAGGATTCTACAGAGTTTTGAATGCCTTGTTGAGGAGCTTGGACTTTCTCCTGAGAGCAATGAAGGTCAAAGGAAGGGTTCAAAGCTCAAATATGGTCATGTCATTCCCTGCATTTGAGCTTTAAAAAGTTTGTGACTAGGGTGGAGAAAACACCACGGGGATGGGGGGAAGACTGAAGGCAGGAGGGCCACGAGGGAGCTTCAGAAGTGATCTAGGTGAGAGCCGTTGTTGGCCTCCACTAGGTTTCTCATGTCTGTAGAGAGAAATGACCAAATTCAAAAGATAAAGAAGGTAGAACTGACAGCCCCTGAATATTGAGTGGATTAGGAGGGCTGGGGAGGAGGAGCCAAACATGACTTTCAGGTTCTGAGTTTGGGTAACTGGGTGGATGGCAGCACCTCAAGTGAAATAATAAAGTGGGTGGAGTGTGGTCAGGACAGGCAGGATTGGGAGTGCTGTAGAAAAAGGCTGCATATGTTCAGCTTGAGACATTTGAACTTTGATGCTTATATGGGCAGGGGAGTCTCTAATAGGTAAATAATCTTTGTCTCAGGTTGATTGGTGTCAACTTTTTGGTTGTGTTTCTTTAGGCAAGTCATTTAAACTACCTGCCTTATGGTTCTCACCTGAAAATTGGAACCATTATAATAGTACCCAACTTAGGGCTGTTGTGAAAAGCATACAATAAACATTTGCTATGTATCTTTTCACCACATCATGGTCAAGAAAAGTTGGTGCATATTTTCCTTGATCCCAGCACTGTTAAGTCAGTGGCCACATCTGTGCTTTGACTTCTGGTCACTAGCAGCTTGTACAGTCTCTCACTGCTCCTCTTAAGAATGCTTCATGATCTCAATGTCTGTCCCCAATCTTACCTTTGTTCTTCATCTTGGCTTCCTGATTCCTCTCCTCTAAGTTCACTTCTGCTCACAGTTTCAGCATGTCAAAAGTTAACAATATAAGCCAATGGTTGCTGGATATCTACTGTCTGCCAGGAATCGTCCTAAAGGGTTTCTACACTCTATATACATGTCCATATATAATACAACAGACTTGCAAGGTAAGATATGATTTGATTCTTCACTCTTCAAGTGAGGACATAGGGCTCAGGGAAATAGAACTTACTGTAGATCGCAGAGCTAGTCAGGGATGGAACAGGAATTCCAACTGAGGCCTGTGAAACTCCAAGCTTTGTTCACTCACCTTAAGTGCTTCCCAGTCAACATCAAAAGCATGCTTCAAAGTGTCTGAAAGACACAGAGAAGTGATCCAACAGATTAGCAAAGGCTTTAGGGAATAGGCAGACCTCAATATGGGGTTCCAAGGATGTACCAGTTAGATGCGGGTAGGGGAGAGAGATGCACACCATTCAGCATTCCTTCTAATATGAGCAAGGATGAAAAGGTAGAGGGGCATATAGGCTGAATTAGAGGATGAAAAGGAAAGTACAAGGAGAAAATGGAAAAAAGAATAAGACTCATTTAGCTATGCTGTTGGGGAAGAAAAGTTGTTCACCAAACTTTGAAGTGTTAAGATGGATAGTTAGCCCCACCTGCTCATGGGTCCCTGTCAAGATACTCCTGTCCAGCACTGCCATGCTCTGGTAAGACAGTACTGCCTGCCAATCCTTCATAAGCCATTGCATAGAGTCTGCCCTGGGTTCAGCACACCTCACCTCAAGGGGTGCTGAGAGATAATGCCATTTGCCTGTCATAGTTTTTGAACAATAATCCTTTTCAAGCCTGGGTCATGACCCAGTAACTCAGACCACCCACCTCTGCCTGGGCTGTATCATTGGGTGAGGACTTCTGGAGGGCTATACCTCACCCGCTAGCCGCTAACATTCCCGGACAATCCCTGACCCTAATTTTCCCTTTCTCTTCTGGCTTTGAGGTGCTCTTCTATAGAAAGAGAAGTTATAATGTCTTGTCTGTGCAACATGCCAAAACCAAACTATTCTCTATTCTGTTTCCTGCACTTCTCAGGTTAATCTGTGGTGCCTTCCACAGAGTTGGAGGATCATCCATGTCAGAAGAAAAACCGCTGGAAGAATAGACCTATTTCCTATAAGCAGGTACAGTTCAGAAATAGGATTCTTTTTCCTCTATTACACTGACACTTAAATCTCTGATATTTAATTATGGAAAGAAAAGCAAGCAGAGAAAAGGTTTTTATGAAAAGGTAGAGGCAATGGGGAGGGATGGGAAGTTTTGTGGCCAAAGAAAAGACCCCTAAGCTCTCTGTGTCCTGCAGGGCCAGGACTAAAATTAAGGGAAGCACCTAGGGTGCAAACTCTGAGGCACTCACTCTTAGGGTTGTGCAAGTCCAAGATAGGCCCTGTGTTCTGGAATGAACTATGTGGTCAACTACCACATTCCAGTAACCTTCCTTTCCCCTACTTAACACAGACTAGTGTGCATTGATTCTTAAATAGCTTTGTTCTGTGTTTTAGCACTTGTGACATTTAGTTGAAACTGTCTCAATTTTTTCTTTCTAGAAGTAACACAGGGAATTTAAATAGCGGAATTCCTCTTGTCTTAGACTTTGAATTCATGCTTCCACCAAGTCTGTTCCATGTGGAATTTCTACACACTTTTAGACTCTAATTTTCAGGGCTCCTGCATTCCTTTTTCCCTTCTAAACACTTCAGTTTTTCAATTTCCTCCCCCAAATGTTTATTGTCTGGTCATCAGAAATTTAACATCCAGGGTTTCCTTTAGGGTGTGATTAATTAGAACTCTTAAGTTGGCCAAACTATCCTCTTTCTCTAATTATTTTTTTCTATCTGACATCCCCCCAAAAAACTCCTTTAAAATGGAGAATCAGGGTTTATTCAGAATAGCCTTCTGTAATTAAATGTTCCACATTTCAATAAAACAAATACTATTTTAGGCAAATTTACAATCTGAAAACCAGAAACAAAGCTCTATAATAGTGACGCTCTACATAATTTTCAAATGATTTTGGTTGCTGTATTTTACTCAGTCACTGGTTGCTCCTAGTCATCAGTGATTCTATTAAGTGGAGCACACAGTATGCTTAAAGGTCAATTTTATTAGAGGCCTCTTTTTATTGTCCTATATTAATTAACACCCTCACCCTTACTCTTCAACCCTCAACTTGCTCTATTTTAAAATTTTAATTCAGAGCTCTTCTCCATTAGGTATTACATCACTAAAATATAAATTTTATGAAATTTATGAAAACTTTCTCCATTTTCTTTTCCATTACTAAAATAGTCTCAGCTCAGCAACAAAATACGTGAGGCGAGTTGGATAAACTGATTATGAGTATCTCCAAAAACTATTTAAACATACAATCATATACAGAGATGTAACAGTTCAAAAAAATTTCCTCGACATTGTCATATGCCCTGATGAATTTGTTCTCTGTAACATCCCCTTGTCTATTAAGTCTATAGAACATCAAGTTTTACATTACTTCTCCAAGAGAAACCATCCTTATTCAAGGATTACTAATTTTCCTTCATAAGTACTCAAAAAATATCAATTTAATAACCATTCCTGTTTAGCCTAAAATAGACAACACAACAGTCCCATTCTGGAATTCACCTTTTAGGCTCAATAATTTCATGAAGACTATTTATCTGAAAAGTTTCTTCATAGTCTAAGATATAAATTATCTAAGCACAGAAATTTATTCAAAGCAACTACCTCAGAAATCTAATTTAACCCATCAGAAAACACTCAAAGACACTAATTTAAAACATTTCCCTCTGTGAACATGGTGGCTGATAGCTGAAACTCCTCCTGTTCAAAACCCCAACAAGTCCAACTTAGGTTCTACTCATTAAACAAGTCTCAGCAAATTGTTGCATACTTTCAGATAAAAGGTGCACCTCATTAGTAAACTAGAAATAAACATTTCAGTTCCTGAATTATTTGGTTTAGATCATGTAACAGCAAGAAATTAGGGTGTGGGGAATACGTATCAAGCTGGTCTGTCAAGTGTTTAAAAGATAGCAGAGAATTGAGTCACAAAAACTTGCTAAACACTAACAGAACCAGCCTATCAGAATTGAGTAGCAAGCCAATGCTTCTAATAATGTGTCTCTTCAGAAACAGTAATTTGGCATTCTTTTAAAAAAGGGTGCTGTTCGAAACATAAAATTAAGATAGCATCTATCCTACACCAAATGTCCTTTAAGAAAAAAGTGACCTTGATTGTGAAGCCATTTGGAAAGTTAAAAGATCTATATAAATGCAAGATTATAAAGGACGCCTTAAGATCTTCTAGCAAAGTATTAAAATGGAAAACTTAGTACTGTAATGCCACACTCTTAATTTATTGGACAATGTAATTGAATATTTCTGAAAAAATGATGATTTTCAGATTCCAAACACAAAACTTTCCGTGTTTCAGGAAAAATAGGAGAGTAAACTGCATCTGGAGATCTCAACTAGGGGGATAAGGGTTCTTGTCACACCCAACCAAATCAGAGTTAATGGGCTGGGGGAAAAAGCACTCAGAGGACATAGCAGCAGCTCCAAGAACTCAGTTTTCCACAAGTCTGGCTACTGAAAGAGCCTGCTGTAAGCCCTAAAACCAGTTTTACCTAGTAGCTGCTGTGGCTCTAAGACTGGTTTTACCTACCACTGTCACACATCAATCAGAGCTTGCCAATTCCCAAAAACTTCTCTAGAGCCAATGAATTTTCTTTCAAAATGGATGTAACATTTCTCTTTATAATAAAACTCTCAACCTTCTCTGTTCTTTGGGTATATTAAAAACTACTCATTCTGTGTATATGCCCTGAATTGCAATTCTTGCTTCCCAAATAAAATGTATTAGAGATTTGTCTCTATATTTTTACATCAAAGGAGGAGACTTTATTTTACTGTTTGAATTTTTCACCATGTGCACTGGTAAAGATAAGGGGGCCATATTCTACAAGAATGACCTTATTCTAACTACCCAAGTTGCTCATCTGCTAGGCCTTTTAATTATTCTAGCAATGGCAATAGATGGCATTAAGCCTTCCTATTTTGTTTAGCAATATTATTTGTCTCTAATAGTGCAAGGTGCATGTGTTAACTGTATAGTGATATATTTGTAATATACATGTGTGAGTATATATTCAGCTAAATCCTAAGGATTTATGACTAAATAAGGGACACGATGGCAACGGTTTTTGTTATAAAGCTTATATAATGTTCTAAAAAACCTCTTCCAAGATTTTGGAGAAGTTATTTGTAGAAGTGGGTTAGGCAGGGTTACATCTGTTACATGTATTTAAATTTGCAATTAAGCATACTCCTCATGTGGAAGAAAACTTCTGTAATATTGCTCTTCCTCGGACCCTCCTCCTAGTCTAAAACCAAGCATACATAGGGTAGTGTGTCATGATATAGACACCAGGCTGGGAATCAGGAAGCTTGGTTTCTAATACAAGTATTATTATTACTATCTACCTATTCAGATGTTTTCTATGCTTGTTTCAGTTCTTAAAATTACTTCAAGCATTATAAAAACAGTCACTGGTGTAAGCATTGGTTTAAGACTTTTTAAAAACTGGTAAAATGTTTAAGTAGAAAATAAGCTCCCAGTGAGGTTTTTATAGTTTTTATACCATAATAAGAGCACACTAATAGATATTACTGGTACACATGGGTTATCTGGGAGCTCTACAGCAACAATAAACCTAATTATGGAACAGAAATATGCATTGTTTCCAGTGCTACTACATTTCTACTTTCTCAAAAGTCTGCTCTATTAATATCAGCTCAGTGGAGTTTACTACAAATAGTTCATGTCTGTGATGCAAAGCATTAATTGTTCTCTTTTTACAAACATATATTTTTTTCATAAGACTGGGAAAAACCCAGAAACATAACAGCAAATAAAAGGAAAGCATCATCAAATATATGTTAAAAATTAAGATGATGTTTACTACCTAGTCATCCTACAGCCATTTAAACAGTTTTCCTCAATTTATATGCATTTGATTTTACAGCAAAGAGAAGATAAGCATACATGATTTTCATTTCCATGAAAAACTTGCCTACTAATAATTACCCTTAATAAACAAAGGATTACTGATCTAGAAAAATAATGGAATATGGACTAAAACGTTTTAAAAGCAGATGGAATAGAGATGCAAATTTGTCTTAATTATATTTGTTCACTTCTGTTGCCATGAAAGAAGCCATGGCTGCCACCCAGTGGCAACGTTAAGTCTTTAAATGATTTTAAGATTTAAATAATATTTAACACTGATGAAAAAAATTTACAAGTTACACAGTTTTACCATCAGTTATTCTGGTGTATTAGATATCTGTTTATAACCAGCAAATAATTAAAACATCCATATGCTTAGGCAGCATTAAGGAATTTGTTGAAAGTAATATGACATCCTCCTCAGTTATGTGGCTTTAGTATTTTTCAATTAAAATACTGATGGCTACTTTGCTTAAACTTAAGTCTCCAGAATAATGGGAGTACAAATTATTACCATAAAATGCAACTGGTTTTCTTCTATGGCCTGTTACAGAAGTAGATTAGCCTCTCATCCATACACCCAAATTCCTACTTGTTAAAAAAAAAAAAAAATTAAAAATAACGTGATTTTCCCTAATCATGAGCACATTTTATTTTTTCCTCAGGTATACATCAGTTTTAGTGTCCAGATCAACAAAACTCAAAGCTGAAGAGGAAATGAAAATAGGTAATACTATTCCTGACAATTACTGATATTTAGTGAGGAGAAAAAAACCACGTATCTCACTGCTTCCTATTTTTGCAAAACTTGGCCGTAACTTATTTCACATTGGCATAAATATAACATGTCCTAATATAAGATGCTTTGCTAAAATAATACAAGAGGGATAAAGAAAAAAAAATAACACTAGAGCACCTATTTACAGTTTGAAAAGCTAGGTTGGGCATGGTGGCTCAGCCTGTAATCCCAACAACTTTGGGGGGCTGAGGGGCAAATCATGAGGTCAGGATATCAAGAGCATCCTGGCCAACATAGTGAAACCTCATCTCTACCAAAAATACAAAAATTAGCTGGGTGTGGTGGCACACACCAGTAATCCCAGCTACTCAGGAAGCTGAGGCAGGAGAATCGCTTGAACCCAGGATTCAGTGAGCAAAGATGGCGCCACTGCACTCCAGCCTGGCAACAGAGCAAGAACCTGTCTCAAAAAAAGAAAAGAAAAGAAGAAAAGAAAGAAAGAAAAGCTAAATTATCTCAGAGACTGTTTTGTTTTCTCGAATAACCAGATGAGGGAGAAGCACTGGAAAAAAAAAAATGAAGAATTTAGTGATCTTTGTTTCCAACAGTTGTAAATTAAAATTGTACAACATGTTTTCTAACCTATGTCTCATGTGTCTTGCTGTATGACTGAAGACAATGAATGAATTTTTAAAAATCATGGCAGACACAATATACTTGGTTACAATTACCTGTGACAAATATAATACCTGGAAATAATTTCTAATTTTCCATTTATTATTGCTATTTAGTCACAGAAAAGATTAACACTCTCCAAGAAATTTATTTTAGCATATGTCATATATAGATATAATAATTTTATATAAAGAGAGATCATAACAGAACTAACAGGGTTCCTTTACAAGGAAATAAAGGAAAGGCAATAAAGGATTTCTTCCATATAAAGATTCTGATCTGCATTATTTGATTTTTTTTTTTTTCAAAATACAAAACAGTAATATTAGAAGCAAAGCAAAAACAGCAAAGAAGAAAACAATAAAACAGAAGACCAAGGATAAGGAATTATTTTATGCAGATGCACTGCATACAAAGTATATATGTATGGGCTGAGTTATAATAAAAATATTATTATAGTCATTCTCATATAGAGTTAGAAACAGCAATTTCCAATCAAGCACAACTGGACCCAACATTTTCTCAGTGTTCAATTACACGTTAAATTACAGCTATACAGCAGTCACTTCTGGTCAGCAGTATCATGATAAATGCTTGACAAGATATAATTTTTCTCCTTGTTCACTTGTAAAAATTGGTGCCTTTTTGTAATGTTCTACAAGTTCTTCCATGGTGCTGAATTTGCGCTGCCCAATGCAGTAGACAGTTTCTTTTAGTTGGACTTTAAAATGCTTGTTTTTCCCTTGAGCTTTTAGTGATACTGAGAAATCATTTGGCTAAAAGAGAAAAAAAATACATATAGTAAACATCTGAAAGCCATCTATCAGTATTTTTATATTAAACTAAAAGCTAAAACTTAAGCACTTACTAAGTTCTAGGCACCACGATAAATTATTTATAGATTATCTCCTTCACTCCTCAAAACAAACTCTTTTTACAGATGAGAAAACTGAGTCTCAGAGAAGCTATTAATAACTTGGCCAATGTCATCCATCTAGTTAACAACAGAGCCAGGATTCAAACCTGCATAATCAAAAGTCTCTTAACACTCACGGCTCTACCAGCAGACACTCACAGGAAATCCTCCTTTAGTTAAATATTTGAAGAACAAGAGCTATCTTCTCTCCAGACTACTGGAGAAACACATGAGAAACTCTAAGATATCCACCCAACCCCTTTTCAATGTGTAGCTAACAGTATCTGTCTTCAGGATAATAGGTTGATTTCTCAACAATGAGGAACACACAAATGAGAATGAATCTAAACTTTAAGGAGAGGCCACAAACTCAAATGCCTACAAGAAGAGCCGAAAGAATAATGTATTCTTTTTTTTTCCCCCAATCTAAAGGAATTAGTGACTTCTCAGCTGTGATTGTTGCCTTGAAGGAACAGGATCTCAATGTCGGTAGTTCTTCCCATTTTAAATGGTCTGAAGTCTAAATTTTTATAATAAATAAGTCTAAAGCCTGAATTTTTATAATAAATATCCTAACATTTAAATATTAGCAGTGAATTTAAATGTTTAAAAAACATGTGAAGGCTAAGCAAAATATGCCTACTTGAGACCTCTAACCTTAAAAAGTATACTGCTACAAATAATGGTATATATTGTATTTTGTCTAATATCTATGCTGAATTACCCACAAGCCAATACACACAATTCTGCATTCAAGCTATTTTCTTTTTAATTCGGTATTTGTTTTTTGTTATAGTCTTTATCAATCCCCAAAGCCTCTTTTTCTACAATTACTCCCAAAGTTTCAAACAGTGAGCCAGATCAAACATCTAACAAAATGGATGTCATCACTCTTCCTTACTACCAACCAACTGCTTTTCTGAGGGATTAGGTATAGGCCCCATTTTCCTGAAATTCACATCAAGAAGTTGAATTAATCTCTCTCCCCACCATACCCCAACTCCACACATTTTCTTTCTTTCAATATTTTGTGCAATTACACATTCACTTTTGTACAAATATACTCACACAAAGCCAAGATTAATGATTTAATACGTGGAAAAGTAGTGTTATCTTTTATCAAGGAAAAAGGCCATTTTTAAGGAAAATGAGTGTCATCAAATTCTAATAGCCTACACAATATCTAAAAAAGACCACAAAACCATATTATTTTTCAACTTTTATTTTATAGTTTTATTGTTTACTAGTATTGCAATATAATCACTCTTTTGGGGACTCAACACAAATGCATTTCAAACACAGTGTTAAAATAGTTTTTGAGGTTATTATAGAAGTGTATTCCTGCCCAGCGCAGTGGCTCACACCTGTAATACCAGCATTTTGGGAGGCTGAGGTGGGTGGATCACAAGGTCAGGAGTTTGAGACCAGCCTGACCAACTTGGTGAGACCCCACCTCTACTAAAAATATAAACATTAGCTGGGTGTGGTGGCCTGTGCCTGTAATCCCAGCTACTCAGGAGGCTGAGACAGGAGAATCCTTGAACCTGGGAGGCAGAGGTTGTAGTGAGTCAAGATTGCACCATTGCACTCTAAAAAAAATAATAATAAAATAAAGGTGTATTCCAACTTCCAAGTAACCAATTTATGAAGAAACTTAGTATCAATTTTTCTTAATTCAGGGATTTCCTATGTCATAAGGACTACAGTGACTATTTTCTTACACAATGCATCCAATAGCAATTTTTTAAATGTTTCCTAATTTAATCTATAGTATTATTCTATTTTCAATGAAGAAGCCAATGTTCCATTTTGTCCACTTAGTTTAATGCAACAGAAAATAGGAATGCAAAATCAACAGAACTAGACAAGACCAAATAATCCAGTGTGTAGCATCACTGCCACAGCTCTCTTTTATTCAAAATATATAGCTAGAAAGAATGCTAACTTTAACTTTGAAACATTTATGCTTATGTTATGTCCCAGCTTGTTACCTGGTTAACTTTAGGGAAGCCACTTAACCTCTCCACTTCTCTTTCTTTAAATACCCAGAACTCTATTTGTATTTGCCTCTGAAAATCAACTTACCGAAGATTCACTATCACGAATGAGGAAATCCCCTTCATGTCCTCTTTCATTTAATGCCATTTCTGCTTGATGCCTGGTGACTTTGCCATAATACCAAGGATTGCCAGCAAACTTTCCAGTGAGTGAAGGCCTAATGTAATCACACTGTGGAGGTGATGGTTCCAAACCTGAGGTTAATGGATTATTCTGCATAATGGTAACATAGTTTTTTGGTACTAGACCAACCATACCATTGATCTTTCTGCATTTCCACCACTCTGGGTCATTTTCGGGTTTTTCAATAACATCCATTATATCTCCTTTCTCAAAATTAAGTTCTTCATCGTTAGATGAGCTGAATGGGTAAAGAGCCTGTACCACATGCAACACTTGCCCAGTATTTAGGTTATTGACGACTGCTGCTAATTTCTCTGACAGAGAACCCACATGGTCACCCAAAGGACTGTCACTTTCTTCAGTTACATAGTTTGAAGGGAACCATCCAACTTGTCCATTGTAGCTACCACGCCACCACCCATCACTGCATTTCTCCATGACGATCACCTTTGTCCCCTTTATCAATGATAATTCATCCTCTCTCTCAGCCATGTAGTTAAATTTCACATAAGCGGGCATGTTGAGGTCATAGAGACGTTCCCCTGGGTCAACAAAACTATCATCAGCAGGAGATGCAGAATCTGGCACACTAGGTTTTCTTTTCACTTTTCCAATGCCTGTTTAAATCAAAAAGTGCCATGAGAAGAGAATATAAAACAATGATTACCAAAAAAAAAAAACCAATTTATTCATAATTACAAAGCGATTTTCAACTCCATATAGACTTTTTAAACTTTTAAACATAACAAATTTCTATGTGGTTAAATCATCTTTTTGGCAATGAGGTACAAATACTATTTTTCTTAAACAAATAAATATTTAATTTCAGTTATTACGACAGTTCACCTTATATTTTCTCGTCAAAGGCCCTGAAATAACTATATAACAATTATAAAGTTGTCCTAAATTAATGAATTTTCTCTTAAATGTAAACATAGATTATTTCTCTCATAGCCACAATCTAAGTATACAAAGGCTCCAACATACTCATACTCTTCTTGTCTTAGTTTAAGAAAGCTAGATTTTACAATGAGCTGTACAGAAATAAAATTATTTATATCTTAAATTAGAATATGATATGCAATATAAAATTGCAGTTATGTCTGGCTAATCTTCCCATTTGCTTTCTTGGTTCCCAGACCCAGGTAGCTCTATTTACCTCATATGTTTATTTAAAAATATTACTTACTTGTTTCTCTTCCCTTACCCTAGTCACATGTAACCTCCACAAAGGCAGGGATTTTTGTTTGTTTACAGATAAAATCCCAAGGATCTCATACAGTGCTTAGTACACAGTAAATGCTTAATACTATGTGTTGAAATGACAAAATCACCAAATGGTACTATCAACACAAATGTATGCTATATCAACTTCTGTCAGGCATTTTCACTGCTGCCCATGTCTTAGTGTGTGATTTTATGTTTTACTTTACCTAGAAAACTGAGGCTTCCCTAGGTAAAACTTCTCAAATTCCTTTTGTCTCAAAACTCTCATTATCCTCACTCTCTTTCTTCACTCAAGTCTCCAAATCTTCTAAGATCTGATTCTTCTAAGATCTTAATACTATCTTTCGTGACTCTTTTGGGACTCAACATCCGTGTTTTCCTTCCTATTCAGCCCCTTCAATTGTCTAAAAACACACTCCAATCTTTTCTACTCCAAAATGAAGTTACTGTAACTCTGCTCCAACTTTTAAACTGTAACATTTTGGTAATTTATTTTTTCTCTAATTGGTCCAATTTTCCCACAGAATAAACTACGCCACTCTTTTAATAGTTGTCTTTCTCTTTTCCCTCAACTTTTTCACCACTCGCACTCCTAACTCCTTATAATCTGATCCTTTGTCTGCAACACTCTATCAAAACTACTCAATTAAAACCAAAATCATTCTTATGTCATCTATCTATCCTTATGGCCAAATCAGTAACTTTCAGAGTCCTCAGCCTTTTCAAACTCTCTATGCAGCAACCAAGGTTACAACCCACTCTCTCCATTATGTTTTCTCCTTCTTTGACTTCCCTAAATTTATTATTTTCTTTTCTGACCTGTTTACATATTCTTGTTTGCCTCCTCTAACCTTGTTATTATGACATTGCATTGTGCTTCTTTACTTATCTTCCTTAATATAAGTACAAATGAACTTCCTGAAGGCAGAAAACTAGATCTTAATTCCTTTCTATCTCCAATGCTTAGTAGTACATGCATCAGTAATAGGAACAAAGGAATGTTTGCTGAATGAATAAATGAATAAATCCTTAGTTGAAAGTGTTTTGCAAGATGCCATACTTGACCTTCTTCTCTATTCCAAGGAAATCATACACTTTCATTTTCTATAATTTCTGTGCAGAAGGTTCCCAGATCTCTTTGCAGCTCTAACACCTTTCTGGAATTCAGACAGTACAATTCCCAGTGTCACTAGACACCCACAGATTGTGCCATCAGTACCTCAAACCCAACACTCATATCCAAATAAAAATAATATATTCTATACCCATAAATGAACTTCTTCCTTCCTAATTTTCTTACTTTTGGTTAATGATAACCTTCTGAGAAATCCCTACATTTGGGATGATACCACCAAAAATGGCAGAGTACGGAACTCCAAGGCACCGTTTCTGCAAAAAGCAATTAATGCAATTAATGAGCTGGTAAATATTGTCAGACTCAACTTTTGCAAAACTCTGGAATCTAGAAATAAATAAATAAATAAATAAATAAAATCTAGGGTAAGACTTAGTGAATAAAGGAGTTGCTGCTTTGTAGTAAACAGAGTGTTATAACATCCTAAATTGCCTGCCCACTATTCCCCACACGCCAAGTCAGTGATGACTATGTGGATAGTAACCTGCACTCTTAATGCCAGAGGAAGCAATACACACCTTAAACAACTGTGATTTTAGTTTCAACTTGTCTGGCAGCTCCCTAAGGACCTCAGTAATGGCTTGCTTTGGCTTTGCCTGACTTGGATCATTCCCAGGGGACAGGGAGTCTTCCTGGGTGGTTTTTGCCAAACTTATTTAATTGATGCAGCAGTCCGGGGCAACGGACAACTGGGACAAGGAACAGGCTGATGGAAAAGCCTGGACAGAAAGGGGATGGGAAAAGATATACATGGGGTAATAAGGGATGTGTCTACCAATCAAGAAGGATGTGCACATGGCCAGGGCTGGACACAAATTCAGAAAAGGCCCAAAAAAGGCCCAAGAAGACCTAAGCTTTCACCCTGGCTGATCTTTAGGCTTTGAGCAAACAGTAAGCAAAGGCTAAGGCAGAATTATAAATGGCTTCACTAAGTGGTCAAAGAGTACTTTGACAATAAAGCCATAAAGCCATCTTCAAAGATGGGAGAGATTTTTTGTTGTTGTTGTTGACTCCAAGTGTTTAAGGAAACTCTGTCAAAACACTAGCTAGCTGATTACTAAGCAAATGGAACAGACTTCAGTGGCCACACATGACCAGGAATTACAGACCTTACAAAAATAGTTTAGAAAAGTCACTAAACAAGCGAACAATAACCACTCACAATAAGCAGCAATAAGCTCTGGGGAGGGGATAGAATGTGATGCAGAAAAAAAAAAAAAAAAAAAAAAAAAAAAAAAAGAGCCAACCAAGAATTCCACATTGAGCAAAACTGCCCTTCAAAAATGAAGGAGAACTTAAGACATTCCCAGATAAACAAAAAGTAAAGGAATTCATCACTACTAGACCTGTGCTATAAGAAATGCTAAAGAGAATCCTCCAAGCTAAAATGAAAAAACACTAGACAGTAATTTGAAGTCATATGAATAAAGAGCAATGTAAAGGTAGCTACATAGATAAATATAAAAGTCAGTAGTATTACAGTTTTTGTTTGTAAGTTCTCCTTTTCTTTCCTACATAATTTAAAAGACAAATGCATAAAGCAAAAATTTCAATTCTAGGTTAATG